GTAACTTCTGAACGGAAGCAAAAACGTTTCAAATATTTTTTAAAATATCGGATACTTGTATGGGTTAGGTAGGTAGTAGTAGGCTAAAAGGAGTTTATAACCAAATAGGTTATACCTTAATACCTACCTTTACCATTACAATGAATGAACCTGCACTGACATAAAGTAGTAACTAAAGTGCTCAAAGAATTTTAAGTGGAACAGTTAAATTTTTGCAAATGTTGAATTCGCCATAATTTTTCGGAAGATGAATTGATTCTCAATCGGAAAGCAGTGCTTGAAAGCTGTGTCCTTCCTCTCTAAGGTTCAGTGTTCAAAACACATTGAAATTTCTTAATAATGACACAGCAAATGTTTGAAAAAAGTGTTACAGAAATGAAAAAGTTTGAGTGCCCCCGTATTTCACAGGATTCTTTCAATTTTTTTACAAATCCTGGTTTGTGAACGCCTGATGAGAAGATATCTCGAAATTGTTTCGGAATTTTTGATATTCCTCATACAGAATTATGGAATTCGATATTTTTCGATTTTCTGGATTTTATCGCATCACAGGCTGATTCGAACATTCCGTGGGCAATATCCAAACCATTCCGCCATTGAAAACATTCCAGGAGATGAATTCATATTTCTTCGAAAACAAGAACATTTTCTACAGGAAAAAATTTCCCTTTTTTTGGAAAAATGTTTATAGAGCGTGGTAAAATCGCCTCTTCAGTGCAATGCTGCCATAATCAAATGCTATTGAAAACAAGAACTCCTCATATGGCTCAGCTGCGCCGGCTCAATATCTCGAGACGATTTCGAGATTTTCCATATATCTCAATTCAAGGGGGCGTGAGGGGCCACTTCTGGATCATTCTGATCTATACGCACGATAACAAAGTTACAGTAATTTTCAGACTTTCATGGGCTAACATGGTATCTTATAAGTTTGTTGATCACGTAATTGGAAATATCCCAAAAATTTCATTCTCAATGAGGTCTGAAAGTAATACTACAATAATGATAACAGTGACATTGTGGAAAAACTGACAGTTGTCAAAGGAGTTGTTATATTGGGTGTTGCAATGGTATATTTCGCATGAATAGGTGTTGATTACACAAAAACGATTATGTGACGAACAGACTAATGAAGAAGAGAAACTTAGATCAGGATAATTCAGAAGTGCACTCTCACGCCCCCTTGAATTGAGATATCTGAAAAATCTCGAAATTGTCTCGAGATATTGACCAGGGCAGTTGATCCAAATGAGGAATTCTTGTTTTCAATAGCATCTGGTTATAGCAGCATCAAACTAAACAGGCGATCTCACCAAACTCTGAACATTTCTTTAAAAAAAGGGAAATGTCTTCCTGTTGAAGTTGTTCCTGATTTCATAGCAATATGAATTTATTTGCTATAGGCTGGTATAACCACTAGCACTATTTTTGTTACGCAGCAGACTTTTAAAATCGATTTATCTGGCAAATGGTGCTATCGAACCTAAACAGAAGTATCAATTTTAGGTAATAATGAGGATATTTTCATAATTCCTGGTCAAACTGCCGAGAATTGCATAGAAAAAAAAATTTGGGGGAAGAAATGCCCCTAGCCCCACCTATTTCCCACGTCCTTAATCAAAATTTCGGAAAAGTTTCAACATTTCCAAATCGGGCCAGAGAAGTACAAAATGTCTTTATCTCAAAACAGAGGGTTTCGAAAAGATTTACAAAAAAACAACATCTCGGGCCTTTTTCCAGATGGCTATAACTCCCCATGAGGCCATTTCTGGTCTCATGTATTTATGAATGTATTTATGTAATTTCGGGACACCAAGAGTTTCGGGGTTCCTGCGCATTGAGCAGAAGCGTTTTCAGACGGGCAATTCGGATGAGATTTCATGATTGTTCTGGTATAATATGACATACAGCGGTCTAGATAGTAGTTATGTAGTGGTATAGGGGCGGTGTCTCAACATCTGTAAGAGAATTGACAATGACTCGATGAAGTAACGGATAAATAGGATAAAACTCGTTTTTGCAATAATTACCTACTAACTATAACTATCATTGGAAAACATTTCCAAATGGTAACTATATAGGCCCGTTATTATGACGAAATATTGAAAAACACCTATACTATTATTTGTTTATTGAGTTTCAGAAGGATCTACAAAAAAAAGTTGTTTCTATCATACAATTTTGCATATTATGTGTCTCGAATTTGACCGTTTTATTACAACTTTTTGTTTTTGATATTTTTTCCACGGATTTTTTTTAATATAAAAAAAATAACACCGACAAAACTATTCCAGTATAGCTTTATCATGATAATAACTTTCAATCATTAATTATCGACAAAAATATGCTCATCGTGGACACGTAATTTTATGATTAGTTTCTTACATAACGTTTCTGATTATTATTTACCAACTGAAACAAAAATTCCTATGTAGAGGTAGGAATATAGAAAATGATGTCGATTTTACAGGCTCATCTGTGCCAGTTCTCAGTTCACCTACACGTAATGGTACGACACTGTGCTAACCTGACATCTCAGCCTCACAGACTCATAATAGGTGAGTATTTACCTACAGAATGAATCACGACCAAATCACGACAAAGAACAAGAAGTCCGGGTCCGGGAGATGCCGCGACCGCAGATCCGATATAGACACCAAGTTTTTCTCACAGACATGTTGATTTTGATGATTCAGATAAGCTAAAGATAGATACCTTACCTAGGTAGATTCAGTAATGGTGTATGGTGTAGGTATAAGTTTGCGACCTGCATGATTGGTAATGGGGGCGTAGCAATGATTTTTCGCTAGGCTACACTGAAAGAAATCGACCAAATCAAGTGCTTTGCTGAAACCATATATGTATTGTATCCAATGGATTTCATGCTATGACAGAGAAATAATTATTCAGTCCGAAACAATGAGCGAATAAGTACAGATACTATTATTTTGCTGAGTCTTCTTTCCTGAACTAGCATGATATCAATTTGTTTAAAAAAAATGCACTTCATAAGACTGGTTTCAATAAGATTTTTCCATTTGGTACGAATAGGCCTTTATCTACCGTAAACAGGTTGACTTTGCTTGAACTCAATAAGTTGTCTATCTAGAATAGGTGGATTAATATTTTCTTTCCTATTAACGTTCCTGGAGTAAATAATAAACCTACTTACTCCCACTACTCCTAATTAATGACCTATTTGTTTTTGTTGAGGAGCGCATGCGCCATATTTTACCATTTTAAATGGGACACCCGGTATATTTTTACTTATACTCATTAGAATAACATTGTAAGTGCACTGACACCCAATATGCCAATTCTTGACATTCACACTGTTACATACATGTTACATATGTTCCGCGTACCTAAAATGCCATTTGCCATTTCATTTCCACTCGTCAATAGAAGCATCACCATCTAGCGGGAAAATGTAGAATTAACGTCTCGCTCCGTATGAAATTACGTATGATACGCCAATGACCTCAATATAACCTAAAAAACAACAAATGTCAAAAATCTTGTGCTTATCCCATATACGTATTAATAATCAATACGGATAATCTCTATCTGTTTCCATAGCGAAACATGAAGCCGATTTTTGAAGACAAATGACTATCCATAAGGAAAAGTTTTGAAACGATCAGACGACACATACTGCTCTGATTGAAAGGCTAGTAAACGTCATTGTCCTGATTGTCGTCCACCGAAACGCATGTCTTTTGTGTGTCAATGTCAATAGTCAATAACCAATAGTGTCAATGTCGAATTATTTTTCCATTATTATTGTAATAAAAAACAAATATGTCTGATGTACCTGTACCTGAAAATGTGAAAGTACCCATATTCTAGCCAGTAGTTTGTTTTCATCCAAAGTATTATATATATATATATATATGTAATATGTATAATTTTTTCAATTTATACGATCCATCCTATAATTTTAACAATCTCAATTTTTAGCAGCATATATACTATTCATTGTGATCACCTTCGATCATAGGGGGTTTGTTGTTCGAAGGTGATCACAGTGACTGTGCTGTGACGTGGTGACAGTGAGCAATATACGTTTTGCGAATGGTTCGACATCTCCAAGAAAATAACAGCACTAATAGGATATAATAATATTTAGTCTCGTGATAAAATTTACCATTCTCGCAGATGTCTACGCATACGGTGAAGTTTATTGCTTCCTACCTTTACTAGGTGTCGCCGGTGTAGCCAACGCATAGCTTATTTTGAGGTTATCTCAAGTCGATTTTTTTCACGAGTAGGTTCATTGAGTTATTCAGGCCATCCAACCGAAGAAGAAGTTTTTGACAGTTTTTTACCAGGGCTGTTCCCGTCGGTACTTTAATACTAGATTCAGTACTATTCGAAGATTTTAGGTACCAAAGTACTTTTTGATGAAATCTAGTACTAAATGAGTTTTGAGATCCTTGGGTTCACATTGGTCACTAGAAAATGAATGAAGGCTAACATTTTAACTCTCACGAGTTGGCGCTACTGCTACTATCAAAAGACTTATTCAGCCACGTTTTTTACTCTCAATGTGGAACTGTACTACAAATTCTTACATTGACGGAGAAGAAGATATCGTAGGAAGATGCCAAATAACCACAGAACTCATGTATTATAATTATTATAATATATGAGTTCTGTGCAAATAACACGAAATTAAAGAGTTTATTCATCAGTTCTATCAACCTAACCTGACCTCACGTTACAGTGGCGCGTTTTGGTGGACAATAAATAATGTCAACGTCATTGTTCCAGATCATTTTTCTCATGTGTTTGGTACATTTCTTCCATATTGAAAATATTTGTTTTTGCTCTTGGTAACTTGAATTTGTGAATAAAAACTATGCAAGCACCTCGTGAGCGGCAAATTTGAAGAAAATTGAAATTCAGTACTAAATTCCCAGTTCTAGTACTTTTTCGAAATGTGATCTAGTACTACATATTTTCGGCCAGGAACAGCCCTTTTGACAGTAGACAGTACTAGAAATAAATATTTTGGTTTTGGGTTATAATTGAAAATCGCAGCAGGTTTATTTTCTTTATTCGATTATGGATGTACCTAAACGTTCGTCATTCACAATACCAAAGATTAATGTGAAATACAATGGAAAACTCAAGGAAATACTATCGTCAACCAAAGCTAAATCTGAAGTACAAGATCTATCTAACATACCATTCATAAAACAAAGTGACAGCATTAGATTACTTCCAAAATACTCTGCAAGTCAGTAATGATTCTAGGAGTCAATGTATGTTGTTAATGTTGAGAATTTAGTTCTAGGCAAATCAGCAGATGATGGAGTCTCTATGGATGATTTGGATCACCTACAGCAAGATTTGGAAAAACTTTACTCAACCAGTGCTATTCGAATAAGATATTTCCTGTCAGAAATTGGTGAAGTAGACAGAAATGATGAGGGACCTGATCGTAAAGCCCATGATAAGGTAAAATGCCAGTAGTGAATACTGCCCTTGAGTTATTTGTTTATTCAAAATATTGCAGACATCTCTCAAACGAAAACGGCCAGATGAAAAACCCAAATTCAAAGATGCCAAAAATGGCATGAGGGTCAAGAAAAAAACTGTAGGGTTCCCAGCCAAATTAATTGATGATTTCCTCCAAGAAATTCCCAAAGTCACTTTGCCAAAAAATGACAATTCAGATAAGTTCTGGGCTTCTATTGAACCATTTTGTTCCAGTGTTACAAAAGATGATGTTGCAGTTAGTATAAAATATTTGAAGTTCTCAACAATTAATTAATATATGGTGTTAGTCCCTAGATAGTATCATACAAGAATTCTCTAAAGAAATTGATATAAAGATTCCTGAGGTTGGGGACCATTATGCCAATGGTTGGTCAGAAGAAATTATCAATGATGAACAAAATCTGGGCAAATCACCTTCAAAAAAAGGTGCTCCCACATCTGATATCAAGAAAAATGGTCTGCATGCGTAAGTTGAGATTTGTTGCTAGAATTTATATAGAATTATTCTGCCTGCTAGACTAAATAGTCAATATAATTTTTCCTTCAAACTACATTTTCTATCATAACTCACTAGTAGAAGTATGTCATCTACTAAATTTCCTTGAAGCATAAATATTTTCAGAATGCTTGAGACATTTTCTTCACCTCAAACTCAGAGACTGTTGAATAGCCTGCCCAAAAATGGAGAGAATGAAAGGGAGCCAAATAAACTGAAATGTAATACATTAAAGGTATATAATATTTCTAACATTCATTTTCCAAATGGCTATTAAATTTTAGCAACAGAATTTGGAAAATTTAGGACATCAAGTGCAGGACAGAAAGTTGGTAGATGTTTAGATAGGAGACTGAAAAAAGAACTTATGGAACAGGGTATTATTACTATGGAAGATTTGGCAAAGGTTGGTATCAAAACAATGTATTCCAATAGGTACTGTTTTCATCATACTTTTGCAAGTGTGTTGAGTTTTTGGATTCAATGTTTTTCTAATGCTTACACCTCCATGAATGTTTTGAGCTATTTCAACAAATCTACAAAGTTTGACACTAGTGGAAAATCTGTAGAGTTCTGGAAATGCTATATTTTAGAACATGCCAGAAGATGAAATTTTGAATGAAATAACTAAGTGTCAACAAGAGTTGGCTACTGTGAATGAATACAATATACAGGAACTGAATAAACTGAAAAGCATAGTAATGAATGATCTGCGTTCAAGTGAAATGAAAGAGCAACTGGATAAAGTTGATAAACAGGTGTGTTATATAACTCCCACTAGAAATTGTCTCCTAAAAACTTTTTTCTAGGTTCTAGAATTATACAATAAGATTATTGTAGCTCGAAAAACTGCCCAACAAGTAGAAGGTGATGATTTTGATAAAGTAGTGTTCACTGAACAAGTTACAAGAGATTTTGAAGGTCAAGCTGATGCCTTATTGAAACAACAAATAGAGTTGAATCATGAAATAAATGGTCTCACAGATAGGGATATGATTTACTGATAATCTGTAATAAACTCACAGAATCTGGTGTATTAGTTAATCAGAAGTTGTGAATCAACAACTATTTTAGATTGAGTGTATTATTTGGTCACCTGCACAGCAAACCTGAATCAATAGATGTAGTGTCTATATTGTCTATATTAGTGTATCAAAGAGATCAAACACTACCAGTGAGTCATCAAAATGTGCTTCATTCTGGAAACATACATTTAAGTTTTTGGGTCAACAGGTGAACTACCTACCTGAACATCTCAACACCAATATAGACAACTATTGATGAATAACAAATTTTATATCATCTCTGAAATAATGATTTTAGCTTTGTTCTCATTTTATTCCCTGTGAAGGAACCTCACTCTTTCCTATTAAATATTATGAGAAGCTCTTTTCTGTCCAGAGAGTGAGGTTTATTCAATGTGCAAGTAATTAATTTCATTTTTTGTAAATCTACATTGATTATATTTTTTATACACATGGGTAAATAGTTTTCATGTTCATTTTATCATGTATGATGAGTTAAGTTCACAACTGATATCATTTTTCCTCAATTTTAGTGGTAAAATGTCTTATTCACGTTTGTTGGTAAATGTTTTATTATTGATATTTTGAATTTACAGTGATAATCGGAAAATCTGAACCATATGGAAAGCAATTTTGACTCTTTATTTCAAATTTATCTTTATCAATTGAGAACGCCTTAATGTTTTTATAGTAAAATGCTAGAAACATTTCTAAGCTGATTTGCTCGGGAGTGTCTGTTGTCAAGAGATGCAGAAATTTTGAATGAGAATTACAATCAACAGTAACGAATTTATCCAAATGGTGCAAATTTTCCGCTGATACGGAAGCAAGGTGTAGAAAATTGCAATGCGATATTGAATTGATATTAGAATTAATCATATTCGTTTATGATTTACAGCACATACCTATACTCGGATTTTAATCAGCGTCAATGATAGTTTGTAGATATATTTGTCCCTACAATAATTTCGGTGATATATTTGTTTCAACTAGGAATATAATCTTGTACAGATCTCGTTTCTGTGAGAAATGAAATTATGTTTTATATCACATTTATTCCCATAATGAACCTTTTTTTTCTCAAGAACCATGATTATTTTATGAATTTTATATATTTTTTCAAACCAGCTCGATTTTTTTCATGTTTCTCGCATGTCATTCTAGGCTAGAAGAATATACGTATTTTCACCAGGTAAACTGCTTTTGATTGGGAAACAAAATTTCAAAAAATATATACCTATAATACATATGAAAATGAAATACTGAATTTACTGAAAAATAAATCGTTTATTGATATATTATGTACATTATGATAATTTATGTATCTTTTCTAGAAACTTTGTTCATGGACATCACTGTTTCCTTTCAATATTGTGAAAAAATTGAAATTTCCTCAATTTGAAATCAACTGTAAATATTATAATGTATTCCAGGAGGAAACAATGTTTTGTACTTTTCAAGTTTTTATATTGAAATGGATGTTATTCAACTCTTGTGTAAAATTGAAACTTGGAAACACACTCTGGATTTAGATCATACAGTTTAGCTCATCAAATTATTGAGTTAGAACAAGTGGGTTTGTTCATTAATTTCATAGCTGAGCTTTGGAAAAATCAATTCTAATCTCAATTTATGGTGGAAAAATAATTATTCAAATTACAACGGGGCGAAACTTCTCAAAGACTAATGAGCAAATAGTAACACCAAAGATTATGAGTGTAGTGTAGTGTATAGGGCGTTCTGCAGGTTGATGCAAACCTTTTAGCAACTCTTCAGGAAGTCCAAGTCCAATTCTTGGGTTTTCAACATATTCAAAATCATGAGGTTTCGAATGCTTCTTGAACTAATATGTAATTTATGTTCCTTTAAATGGTATAAATTGGTGTGAAGTCAAGTAGATGAGTACACAAAAAATTTTCACCTAATCAAAATTGGGCTGCCGGAAAACTTCGTAAGACAAAGGAAAATTTCAAGAAATAACTAATTTTCAAGGACTGATCCAACTGCAGCAAACTTTTTTTCTTTTTTATCATTAATGAACTATTATTATTATTATTCCAACTTTGTATATTATATTTTGTAAACTGGGCTGGAAGACTTTGGTCAATGGCCTTTTGGGGTATAACCCTAATAAAGATTTCTCTCTCTCAAAATTGGGTACATTTGGATACAAAAATGACATTAATATTATAAAATTTTCAGTTATAATTCAATTCAAACAAGAGTTAGAAAACAAAAAAATAAACTCTACATCATGTTTTTGACAAGAACACTCAAAATGCCAATATCTCGAAAACACTGAATTTATACTTTTCCTCCTAGCAAAATTTGTGTATAAGGAAACAAAGAAAACAACTCTACACCATGTTTTTGACAAAAACACTCAAAATGCCAATATCTCGAAAACACTGAATTTATACTTTTCCTCCTAGCAAAATTTGTGTATAAGGAAACAAAGAAAACAACTCTACACCATGTTTTTGACAAAAACACTCAAAATGCCAATATCTCGAAAACACTGAATTTATACTTTTCCTCCTAGCAAAATTTGTGTATAAGGAAACAAAGAAAACAACTCTACACCATGTTTTTGACAAAAACACTCAAAATGCCAATATCTCGAAAACACTGAATTTATACTTTTCCTCCTAGCAAAATTTGTGTATAAGGAAACAAAGAAAACAACTCTACACCATGTTTTTGACAAAAACACTCAAAATGCGCATATTTCAAAAAACCACTGAATTTATACTTTTCCTCCCAGCAAAAGTTGTGTATAAGGAAACAAAGAAAACAACTCTCTACACCATGTTTTTGACAAAAGTTGTGTATAAACCTACAGGACACCCTTTATAATCTTTGGCGACACCAACATGACTTCAGAACCACATTACTGCAGTGAAATATCCACTTTACAATGAACAGCAGTGCACAGAATTATTGAAAACCCTTGAATGTCGCACAAATGAGAAACAAGTTGATTTCTAACTTCCAGCTATAAGATGATGTCATGTGAGTGGATTTTGAGATTCATCAGTTCAGCAAAAAAGTAACCATCTTCATCAGGCTGAGAACAGTCAGTTAAGTAGAGAAAAATACTCAGAAGAAAGTAACTGGATGAGGAATACTCAGTCATAACATGTTATAAAAATTCGTAAAACATCTAAATTTCACTACAACAAATGTAACTGAACTCTTATGCAATCGCATACATGATTGTACTTTCAACCTTTATAATGATATAACCATAAATTTGTTTTGCAATTTTTGAAATGACAATAATTTGACATATTTTGGACATTATTGAGTAACAAATGGACATGGACAGATAGAATAATGAGTATACCATGACTATATTATTGCATACAAATTTTCAGTCATGAGCCAGTATCATGAAATCTTCAAAATATTCCTCAAATCGTCAGGCAGAGAGATGACTATGTCATTCAAGTGATGATTCAGTCTTTCTTTCACTGATTCACTGACTTGTATATTGTGTTCTCTGCAATTGTTTATGCTGCTCTTGATTCTCAACACCATGTCAACAACATGCACTTCCTCTCTTCCTCTAACCCAGTCCTTTAAATCCTGGAAAATGTAATCATGAATATCCAGTAGGACAAAGCAGTTTTCACCTCAAATGACATTAATTTGCGGAAGTCAAATGGTTTACCCTGTATTTCATTCAAGGGAAGCCATATCTCTGAATCATCTCATAATATTAATTATTTTCAAGGCTATTCTCAAATCCATTAGAGCAAAATGAATCACTTAGTTTTTTTTATGATATAACTGGGTAATTTGAAAATGGAAAAGTATGGTTGTTTGCAAAATTGTTCAATACTGTATTAAAAATTACCATTTGGAATTCAAAAGTTCATGACATACATACACTGTATATATTTGTTAAAATTCAGCAAGAGGAGGTTTGAGGAGTCCTGATGTCTATGGTGTCAGATTTTCAATAAAAAATTGCTAAATAGCTAAATTAAATCCCCGAGGTATTCAATGTCTCATTTTGAAATAAAACAAGTTCAGTTTACAGTTTTCACAGAAATAAAATTAATCAATAGTAAAATAATTCAATACTAGAATATTCTCATTGGGAACTATAGTATATTCCAGTTAAGAATAAAGCATGTAGTGAGATACATTACTTTTTAATGGTCAAGAAGCTAGGAAACTTTAATCCAGTGATAATGAACAATAGAAGTAGTAAGTTGACTGGTCGGCTGTCCTAATACCCAATTGAAATAGTTCAATAGATCAATTATCCAGGTGATAGGCTATCAATCAAGAGGCATAATTATTGACCATATTTTACTTAGAAACAGTCAGACATTTTGTACTATTCATTGGGGCAACAAGTACTGTCAAACTTAAGAGTCATTTGTGGAATGCATTCTTTTGTTTGTCAATTATAATTTCATTAAAAAATGCAGGGTTTGACACCATAATATCCATCCTCATGATAGGAAGATGGAAAATATCTAACCCTTGATAATATTGTCAATTTCAATGATCACCGTACACGGATTCTATTCTCATTGACCTTCAGCTGTTTCCATAGTCGGCCACTATCCATGAAAGATAAGATACCATGACCTCAATTCCCTATAGAAAATCAGCGTACGCCACCTATCGGAGTTATTGAAAGCTGTCAAAGCGGTCCATTAAACAAAAGTGTTAAGATGTTGCCGTCAGGTGGGGCGACGTGTTATTTTCTATCTTGAATTCATTGTATAATTCATCCAAAAACTATTGTGTATTCAGCAAAATGTACTCTTAATGTTAGCTACACAAATATGAATTGGTTCATCACTAATATTTATTTTTTGGCGGGTTCACTAATGTAAGGGAGCTCAACCATCCTTTTCATCTACTTCATTCTTATCTGGAACACCTTACCGCATTTGACAAGGCTTCCAACTGCAGGGCCTGCAACTTGTGTGTAAGATCTGTGTATCTGTTGTTGAACCAAGCTTTGAAATTAGGAGATCAAAAAAATTTTCTGTATAGTCCAACCCAATCTCCTTTTATGCCTGTGTTATTGTGTTAAGTTGTTGCCGTCGGGTGAGGCGACGTGTTATTTTCTATCTTGAATTCATTGTATAATTCATCCAAAAACTATTGTGTACTCAGCAAAATGTACTCTTAATGTTAGCTACACAAATATGAATTGGTTCATCAATAATATTTATTTTTTGGCGGGTTCACTAATGTAAGGGAGCTCAACCATCCTTTTCATCTACTTCATTCTTATCTGGAACACCTTACCGCATTTGACAAGGCTTCCAACTGCAGGGCCTGCAACTTGTGTGTAAGATCTGTGTATCTGTTGTTGAACCAAGCTTTGAAATTTGGATAGAAAAAATTTTCTGTATAGTCCAACCCAATCTCCTTTTATGCCTGTGTTATTGTGTTAAGATGTTGCCGTCAGGTGGGGCGACGTGTTATTTCTATCTTGAATTCATTGTATAATTCATCCAAAAACTATTGTGTACTCAGCAAAATGTACTCTTAATGTTAGCTACACAAATATGAATTGGTTCATCACTAATATTTATTTTTTGGCGGGTTCACTAATGTAAGGGAGCTCAACCATCCTTTCAATATACTTCATTCTTATCTGGAACACCTTACCGCATTTGACAAGGCTTCCAACTGCAGGGCCTGCAACTTGTGTGTAAGATCTGTGTATCTGTTGTTGAACCAAGCTTTGAAATTAGGAGATCGAAAAAATTTTCTGTATAGTCCAACCCAATCTCCTTTTATGCCTGTGTTATTCAATGTCAGTTGAGGTCCTGCAACTTCCAAAGTAGCAAAAAAGGCATCAGGGTTGAAAGGCAAGGGTTGAGGAGCATCCTAAAAGAAAAATTGAACATGGAGTAACAAAATGTTGGTTTTTCTCTCATTGCAATGTTTTAAGATGATGTTCAATACCTTGAAAGGAGAAATACTTTTCTGAAGTGGCATCAAGCTAGCTAGGTATCTTTCTAATGGAATCATGAAACTTTGTGTGAGTTCTAACAAATGCCTTCGAAGTAGAGCTGATTGAACTTCTAATGGTCTTTTAGAACTAATTCCATTCATGAGCTTCTTAATTATATGTTTGTCTTTTTGCAAGAATGTTTTATGTGCAGTGTAGATTCCAGGACTATTACACATTACTTTGGTTGGAGCAGTTTTTTTCAGTTTACACTTTTGAGCTTGGCCTGATTAAATAAAAAGTAACCAAACATTTCATTTTCAAATTTATTTCTTATAACTTACCCATATCATCACTCAATCTTATAGTATGAGGCCAATGATGCAATGTTTTACCAAAAAAAGGATTTGTTACTCCTAAAATAACAGGTGGAGGTCTGTGGAGTTTAGTAGTAAATTGTTTGAATTCACTATCATGTATTGTGAAATATGGTCTATAATCTCCACAGTATTGCAAAGGGTATATCAGCCTGAAAGAATTTGAAATTTTTGAAGAAAATTCTACAGGGTGCTTCAAAATTCGATGTTAATACTTCAAGGCCATATTGATGGTATCCTAATAAGATGTCTTCTTCATATAAACATGTGTCCTAAAATGCACTCCTCCCCCTCCCCCCAAGCTATGGCCACTGTAAGTTGGCTTGAAAAAAGATTATCTAAAATTGTGACTAAAATAAAAAATCAAATCTTTTGAAAATTGGCATGCCCCTGTCATTTTAGACACTTGTTTTCCTTCTTGCTTCAAAAATTATGTAAATCCAGTTTTAGGGGAGTTGAAGGGGGGCTGTATTTCCAAAAGGGAAATAGGAACTGTCTGTCTGTAATTGGGCTATGGCCTGTTGATTTGGCATCTTTATATGAAGAAGAAGTCTCATTGTGACCCTAACAATATGCCCTTGAAATATTCACATGGAATTTTGTATATACCATCAACATACCTGGTTAGAGCCAAAACCATTGAAGAACAATAAGCAGGAGATGAAGCCATTACCACAATTGGTTCAGAAAGCATAACAAGTTCCCATAAGAGATGGACATATGATATAACTGGTTGTAATATTTCAAATAAATTCAACAATTCTACATGTGTTTGGATCTGGTTGTCTCCAGATTCACTAGGTAAAGCCAATATGGATGTAGTTGAACAGTTTATTGATGGTGGAATGTATGTCTAGAATCATTTAAATATTGATAAGATACATATTATAGAATTAAGTTGTTATAACTAAGTTGGGAAGTTTGTACAGTTGGTAGAAAACTAATACTAACCTGGAATACAGTTCCAAGTAATGGTAGATTGAGAGGTAGTCCTGGTTTTGGTGTAGGCCAACTTCTGATACTGTAGCAAACAGCTTCAAGGCATACATCACCATTATCAAAATACTCAGGAGCAATGTAACTGGATATCTCACTGAACAAGTTATTGAATGGGAAAAAGGAGAGAATGACTACACTCTGAAAAAATTTTGTCATCAGTAAAAATGAAGGCAATTATCTTTTAGACATACCTTCTGGAAATATCCCCTTGGCAGGGTGATATCTTTAACTTGTCTGAAGTATACATATCCCCAGTAGTAGGAATGCTCTATTTGCAAGGATGTAGCACATTTGGAATTGTAATTGTTATGTGCAGGAGGGATGTTTGTCTTTCCTTGGCAATTTTGCAGTCTTATGATAAAACTAGTATCTCCCATGCATCCTGAATTGGAATCTGGAAAAGCTAAGTAGCAAATATTTGAGATTTCCTGCTTTGTAAGTGAAACATGTCTTGGGAAAACACTCTGAAAAATCAATAGATCAATGTTAATGTATCATGAATAATGATTTTGTTTACCTCTAGAGCCTGTCCAAGTTCTAAATCAAATGTTACCACACAAATACAGTATATCCAATTGTGAAAATCGTCCCAAGCATCTACTAATAGTTCATTCTCATATTTTTTCTCCTCTCCATCTGTCATAGTTGACAATCAAATAAAAACGTTTGGCATTCTAAACATCAATTTCCCTTCGCCCTTCCAACACTTCCACTGTTTGCTAATAAAAATAGTAAAAATGAAAATGTTGAAATAAATAAATAAAATATAAAACAAATCTGTCATAATATAACAACAAATATCATAGAATACACACTGCACTCTGCACTGAAGGATTTGGTTTGAAGGTTGCCTAATTGTGTCAATGTCAGTTGTCAGTACTTTCAGTAGTACTTCCATCATTAGTAGAACCACAGAACCATATATCTACTACTCTGTCCTCAAAGCGGGACCAACTTCTGTCTTTATAGGTAACGAAATCGACCAATAGGCGTTGATGCCGACGTAGGGAAAAAATAATACGACAATATGACAGAAAAAACAGTTGCGTGACACGAGTGCTTCTGTACATTTTTGAGGTCTATTGTCGCCACTTTGTTCTATTTGATGTATTCTCTCTACATCTGACTGATTGGCCTGTTGTGAATTCAAATTTTCTTGACGTTGATTTCACGATACAGTGTCTGATCTCTTTGTAGAGAATCATCATCATTATCAATTCTTTGAACTTTGAACTATGCAACTAAGATGCCTATCGTGCTATGCGTGCTAAGTTCATTGTTCAACTTCAACGGTCAAAATTCATAAAAAAAATGTTCTGAGGCCACCTGTCTAGTTGATCAATCTTTGTTTTTGTTTCACCCCCTCTTTCTGCCGTTAAGCATCTCAGCCGTATTGGTAGGGAATGATATCGCCTGTATCGGTATTCTGTGTACGAAAGCTGGATAGATGAACCTGAGTGTACGGTACGCTCGTCGCAGACGACGCACTGCGCAGCCATTCATCGACTCGATTTTCGTCGGTTTGTTGTTTCTTGTTTCCTCAAATTTCAGTGTTAATTCCCGATTTTCTAAAATATGATTATATCTGGTTCTAGATAGGGATGTCTCGTTTACTGTTTTCATGTTTGAGTGGAGCAAATGATTTACACTTTATATGGATTTGCAATATTTTTTTTCATATTTTGGTGTGCTATGTGGTTGTTGCACATAATAGCAATCTTTTACGGGTAAGGGCCTTCTGACATAACCTTAATGTTGCTATGGTTTATCTTTTTTCACTTGTTTTACATTAATATTTTTGTTTCAGTAAATACAGACTGCATAGAAAGGTACCATCTTTACCTAGTGATGAACCTTATCCAGGTGTCTCAATTCTAAAGCCTCTAATGGGAGTAGATCCTCACTTAGTTTCAAATTTAGAATCCCTTTTCACTATGACTTATCCAGTGGTAATGAGTAGTGAATGTGTTCAATTTGAATGAATTCTGAATGCTTTATTTTCCAGTTTGAAATCTTGTTTTGCATTGAGGATGAGAAGGATCCAGCAATAGATGTAGTCAATGCTTTAATTGAAAAATACCCCAAAGTCCATACTAATATTTTCATTGGCGGATCAACAGTTGGTGTTAATCCAAAAATTAACAACATGAACAAAGCTTATGAAGCTACTAGTTATGATTTAATTCTCATATCAGATAGTGGAATAAGAAGTAGGTTTTCATCAGTGTTCTAGAATGTCATTTGACCAAATTATTTTTAGTGAGGGAAGATACCTTACAAGATATGGTAGAACACTTGACTGAAAAAACTGGAATTGTTCATCAGATGCCTTTCACATCTGACAGAAATGGATTTGCAGCTACTTTGGAAAAGGTACTCCATAAGGAATCAAAATGTGATTCAACTGAGGTTCCAATTGTGCTTACAAGTGAATTCTTTTTTCAATCAGGTATACTTTGGAACTGCTCAGTCTAGAATGTATTTGGCAGCAGACTGTCTGAGAGTGAATTGTCACACAGGCATGTCAACATTGATGAGGAAAGCAGTTCTAGAAGAGCAGGGAGGATTGAAAACATTTGGCTGCTACTTAGCTGAAGATTTTTTTATTGCAAAATCTTTCATAGATAGAGGTTGGAAAACTGCTATTAGTAGTCAGCCTGCTTTACAAAATTCTGGTTTCTGTGATGTAAATAGTTTTCAAGCAAGACTCACAAGGTAAGTTGTTTGATCTTTCTTACCAATATTTTTAGTTTGAATTATTAGGATGACAAAGTGAGTTTGGTTCAATGGATGTAAGAATAAAAATCCTTTACTATTATATTTTATTATTCCTCAATCAATTATAGTCATAAACTCAGAATACTGAGAAGTTTCACATGAACCATACAATTGTCCAAGGCTTAATTCAAATATTGGTAAAACTGCATTTAGCATGCAATGGTTATTTTTTCCAAAAATTCTTTTTGGTACTTACGTATTTTTGTCTGAAAAACACGAATTTGATAATGAAAATGTGAACAAACCACTATTTATCCAGATATTTCAAAAAAAAGTTCGAAATTTCGACTCCTTTTTCCCCTTGCGTTGGATGCATTTTCAGGTACTTGCTCTTCTTATTTTGTCATTGGACACTTTATATACTCATGATGTACTTCAATGACACATTTTTATACAGAAAATTCAACAGGAAATATGATTTTTATGGTGAGTTTTTCCTATTTAGTGAGCAAGCATACCAGATGACGGCCATTTTATCCATAGGCAATCCAAATACGAGATGTCAAATGTCAATAGATTGCTTTGGAATGACATTACACACGCCATTATTTCAAATGATATTCTTCCTTCTTTTCAATAAATATGGATAATTCACAAGAAAATCATATTTCTAGTTGACTCAATAATAGAAAAAAATGTGTCTTACATTGTGATATATATAAATTGTCCAATGATGAAAAAAGAAGGGTGAATTGTTTAAAATTCAATCCAGAAGACAGGCGGAAAAGAAGGTGGAATTTGAAACTTTATAGTGAAATATCTTGATAAATAATGGTTTGTTCACATTTTCATTATCAAATTCATGTTTTTCAGACAAAAATACGTAAGTACCAAAAAAAATTTTCGAAAAAAAACCCATCGCATGCTAAATGCAGTTTTACCTAAATATTAATTATTGATTGAATTGAGTTTATTAATCCAGCATAAATGAAAATCAACTTCAACTGAAATTAATGAATTTATTATCATACATATATTCCATTAACATTCTATATATTACTAATTTTCTTCATCAATTCATATGCAGGAAGTGTGTGGCATATGATATGTTTTCATTTTTACTTTCATTCCTCACTTGTCACTTTGAACAAAATACAATTTGGTTTTTCACCATCAGTTTTGATATCTCTCTTTTTATCTACAACACATTTCCTTGTTTTGAGATAACCAAATAGGAAATTGCAGTGTTTTCTTTGAAGCATATTTATTGCATTATCTGTTCATAACACCACTTTATCTATGCAATGGCAATTATAAAATATCATAACCTTAGGGAATGGTATTAAATGGAATTGTGATTCTATATTTTAAATAATTTGAGCTTATATCAGTAACTTTGGCATTAGAAGGATTGCAAATATTGTATTGAACAGCATTATCATTGTAGAGCTAACACTACCTCAAGTTCAAGGTTCAGTGGTAGGAAAATGATATCTAGTATTATCATAATATGAATGAATATTCAAGTTTAAACATTCCTGATTAATTTTCCATGATAGAAAACTTCCCATTACCAAATGTTACATGATTTGATTCAAGTTAATAATGGTAAAGGAAAATTATTTCAGCACATGAAGGTTTTATTTGCACAATAATATAATAACTGCTAACATGACAATCAGTCATAACAAGAAAACCTGTTTAGAGATTTTCCTAACCAAATATGAGTGATGAATTTATCATTTTGTCAACACTTATGTTTCTACAATAGATATGGATATTATGAAATATTAACATGTGTCAGTTTCATTATTGTCAACAACAGTAATTTTTCTGAGTTTTCTTGTTACTTGTTCAAGGAATTCCCATCATGCATGAAAATAAGCTTTACAAATTTATTCTATTCATTTGTCACAGATCTAATTAAATTTTGAGTCATACACTATCATGCCCAATTGCTGGTCCACTTTGATGGGTTAATAACTTAATTGAATGATAGGACTACCAGAAAACAAATAGAGAAAACGTAAATTAATTATCATTTTTATGTACATGTTTATGAACAAAATTTGATTATATGGGGGGGGGGGGGGGGGGGGGCTGAGACACAGGAGGGGGACGTTATATATTTTTTTATTTTATCAATTAGTTCTTTTATTGTTTTTTTTTATGTCATTGATCTGGCTGGTGTTCTCTGTGTCTGTGAGGAAATGCATTCCTTTTAATTTGTTTCCATCCATTTTTCATTTATCAGGATATTCAAATTAAATGAAAATATTTTAAAGAAAAGAAAACTCAAAGTCGTCTCCACAATTTTCATGTCTAAGGAGGCAGTCAATCCTGCTTCAATAAGGTTGATACATGTTTCGGCCATTCAAATGGCCATCTTCAGTCAAATTAGCAACAAAGTGTATGTGGAAATTACTTCAAAACACCGTGAAGGCGAAAAAATTATTATTATAACATTTCCATTAAATTAATTAAATAATTAATGATGTTATAATATAATTAGTTTTTCGCCTTCACGATGTTTTGAAGTAATTTCCACATACACTTTGTTGCTAATTTGACTGAAGATGGCCATTTGAATGGCCGAAACATGTATCAACCTTATTGAAGCAGGATTGACTGCCTCCTTAGACATTAAAATTGTGGAGACGACTTTGAGTTTTCTTTTCTTGATCATTCCACTCCACTTTGAGTATGGACTACTACAGAAGAAAATATTTTAGATTCCATTGTCGTTTTTGTATGACACAAGCATCTAACATATATTCTTTTTTATTTTCGGTACATGAGAATTTTATTTCAACAAAAATTCGTCTGCTGTGAATTTTTTGTATGTATATGTCTACCTTTTTCTTCTGATTATCACCATGACAGAATTGAATGAAAATTGTGTGAACTTATTGAGAAAAAAAAATTGTATACTACAAGACATCAAGACATTCCAAAAATGTTCCTACTGCTTTTTTGTTGTAATATACCTTTGGCCTCCTGGAATTTTGAAATTCCTGCGCCTATGCTGCATGATCACATTGAATTGGTGACCATAAATTTATGTGTGATCCACATTGTTTTCATTATACTTAACATGTTTTGCAAAAATAATCAATTCATTGATCAATAGTACTTTTTATTCATTCCTGGAATTTTGTGTGGTATCATTTCTATGAACTAATACACAAAACTCACACTATGAATGTTCGTGAGTTAACAATACACATACGACAAATAGAACTAATGCAAATAATAAAGAGTTGTGGCACAGCACCCTGTATGTACAGGGTGGCCAACTAAGAATCCAGAGTTCGATACCTCTGTTGTCTTGAGAGATACAAAAAAAAGTTTTGCATTCAAATTAAAGTGATAACCGAGCTTCACATTTCGAAATTTCTTTGAAATACACAGGGTGTTCCGTAAGGTCACAGCACATCAAAGCTATGTTTTTTTCATTAGAACACCCTATATTTTATTTCATTTTTGAATTCTCCCTGAAGATCTGATTTCAACGACGTATCATTCTTAGGGTCTAGCAGTGAAAGTTACTGACATATAGGGTGTGCAAAATCGAGATTTTCCAAGTTCAGGATTTTTTTTCTGTCGAAACTGTTCATTATTCGTCAAAACGGTTTACATGTCCCTATCTCAACTTTTCACTCACTATCAATTGGTGTTCAATTGATATTTAATTGAAACAAATTATAAATTTAGATTTTTTGACCACCTTGTATCAATTTCAATTGAACACCAATTGATAGTGAGGGAAAAGTTGAGATAGGCACATGTAAACCGTTTTGACGAATAATGAACAATTTCGACAGAAAAAAATCCTGAACTTGGAAAATTTCGATTTTGTACACCCTATATGTCAGTAACTTTCACTGCTAGACCCTAAGTATGATGGGTCGTTGAAATCAGATCTCCAGGGAGAATTTAAAAATGAAATAAAATATAGGGTGTTCTAATTAAAAAAACATAGCTTTGATGTGCTGTGACCTTACGGAACACCCTGTGTATTTCAAAGAAATTTTGAAATGTGAAGCTTGGTTATTACTTCAATTTTGATTCATGAATTCTTTTTGTATCTCTCAAGACAACAGAGAAATCGAACTCTAGAGTCTTAGTTGGCCACCCTGTACATATTGACACATGAGTCCTCTATATAAATAGAATAGCATTATTTCAAATTAAAAAAATGTGTCTCTTTAGCCTCAAATCGGTTTCCACCCAATCTAAGTTTTCTTTGTTGTTTTTTTTATGGCTTTGTGGACATGATCCCATCAGCCAGTTATTGGGTATTCATTGAAGTAATTTCAATATCAAATGACTGATTCTTTGATGTAAATCTGAAAGTCCGTAGTTCTGTATATTTTATATTTGAAAAACACCTGTCTATGAGAAAATGAAGAAAAAGCACTATGCAGATAACCTATTAATTAGTGCTGACTAATATAAATTATCATAACAGTTCAACTCATAACAAATGAATCAGAAAGCTGGGTAATGTTGATAAAATTCTGACACTTCAGATAAGATATCATCATCGTAGATGGATGACTACATGAAGGTTACCGACATATTATTCTTTCCAACATGAATCTTGAATATATTTTGAAAAATATTTGAAGAGGAATATATACAGGGTGTGTCTGAATAACACCGAAAAAATTCAAGGGGCGATTCCTTGTGATATTTTAGGAAATAAAGTTCATATAAACATGTGTCCTAACTTGCTTCGTTTTCGAGATACAGGGTATTAATATTTCCATGAAAAATCTTTTTTCTATTCATTTCCCAATTGTCTTTTCATCAATTTCAATAAAACGTTGTGGTTTTGTTAATAGTAATATGAAGCTTCTTCTAGTGCAATTAGATTCGAAATAATATTTCCAGTGGCGTCACAGTGGGTAAATTTATCGATATTCATGGTGAATGTCATTGTACACCCCTGGTTTTTCTGTTTCATATTTTTTTTAGATTGAACTAATAAAATT